CCAGTCTCACCCCAGACCAGCACTGGCCGTGGTTGGTAGCAGGCGGCCCCTGCCCTTCTTTGAAGAAGATGGAGAAATGGAATCCATCCAACAGCTCCTGCTTGATCTGCTGTGTGGAGCTCTGCAAAGAGAGAGAGCCAGGCGAAGAGGTGTCAGTGGCCTGCCTGGCTGACCCCATAGTGGGATACCCCATTAGAACTCCTCCCTGGCACCCCCTTCCCCAACAGGATTTGGCACATAGGAGCATCCGCATAGACCTCCAGCCAGAGGAGCTTGAGGTCTCCGGCAGATGACAGGTTGAGGTCTTGGAATTCAAATCTGAGCAGACAAACTGTGTCCTCGACACTCACCTTCCCATCCTGAAGGCATGGCCTGGGCTGTGAACCTGACATACTGACCAGGCTCCCAACCCCTGACAACCTACCTGCTCCTATCCAGGGAGGGCCCCTCTTCTCCTGTTTCCCCCAAACACATGGGGAGGGACTCAGTACTGCCCTGATGGACACAGCTGAGGCCTGGCCTGGACGGGCCTGCCCTGGGCCCTGTGTTACCTGTGGGTGCCTTCTGGCAAAGGGCCAGAGGCGTCGAGGGTGAGGGTTGTACCAATGTCTGTATTCTCGAGAAACAGTCTCATTTTGTCCTCTTCTGCGACGAGGAGGTCGGCAGCATGTGGGGACACAGCAGGAGAACATGGTGTTCTCTCCAGTGTCGACTACCAACTGAGCTGGAAATGGGGCTGTGTGTATAATATGGGTGCCTAGTTACCAGAATTCTAAGTTCTGTTGGGGTCTGTCAGTAAGGAAGTGAGGTCACATCTTGTAGGTTCCATCCTGTAAGCACCTCCTTTCCATCAGACCTACTCAAAGGCCCCACTGGGCTTCTGGCCGCTCACCCTCCCCCATCAACTCCTTACCTGTTCACCATTATGCCAAAGTGTGCCCCTTCAGCACCTTGGGAAGACCTGGATGTAACCAGGGTCCCAGGTTTGAGGAGACAGTTCTGGGTCAAACAACCTTTATCTTAGCAGTTGTGAGACCCTAGAGAACTCCTTTGGTATTTTGGGGCCTCCCCAGCATGCACAATGGGGGTTACGCTAGCATCTCCCTCCTAGGGAACTCATGAGGTGTGTTTGAGATAGATCTTATAAAACTCATGGTATGGTGTTCCCTGTAGATATTGCACACACTTACAGATGGAGGAAATTCAAAAAGGAGTGAGAAGTAGCATGGAAGAGAACTCCAGTGGGCCTGGGGTTCACAGTGTGATCTCAGGAGAAGACACTTTTGCTCTGGACCTCCTCTATCATGCTGCACCAGTAGAGGTTGAGATTAAATGAAATTCAGACATCCTCCTCCTCTGACATTGCACCTTCCAGTGCCTTCCCATTTTATTTAGACCCAGACCCTGTGCCTCATCTCAGCCTAGGGTGGGCAGCATCCACAAAGACAGCACTGAGGGCTTAGTGACTCCCTTCTGAATGATGGAGTATGACACAGGTGATGGAATCGCACTTCTGGGCTAGTTCAGGATGTTACAACAAAGAACCATAGCCTGGGGAGCTGATCAAAAACAGAATTATGTTTCTCCCAGTTCTGGAGGCTGGAAGTTGGATATCAGGGTACCAGCCTGGTCAGGCCTTAGTGAAGTCTCCCATCCCATTCACTGAGCTTTTACAGTGCTGTCCTTTCCTTGGAGGATGGCTCAACTTTAGGAGCATGGGTAGACTTCTATTCAAAGTCCAGCTCCCACTTGTACCTTGGTGATCGTGATGAAGTCATAGAACATCCCTGTGCCTGTTTTCTCCTCTGAGAAATGGCATTAGTGAGAATTGCTTCCCTTTTTAATCACAGAAAATAAAGCATGCAAAGAAGTTAACTCGGTGCCATTGGGCAGAGAGTGAGAGCCCAGCAAACCAGAGAGATCAGCTTGCCCACAGCAATGGTGAGGAATGCGGAGAGTTGGTGAGGCTGGGGCAGGAAGCAGGCCAGCCTGCCAGAGCCCAGGAACAGGTGAGGGGCAAGAGTGAGCTCCTCACCCTGAATTCTCAGGGGACACAGGCATGCAGGAGCTGTGGGGAGCACAATCATGAGGGCTGCCCTCATTCCCCTGGTTTCCTCCATATGTGACGTGGTCCCAGGGCCCCTCTCCCTGTGTTTCCTCTCTACCCTGCTTTCTTCCTGGCTGCCCTCTCAGGACTCATTTTTGGTCCTGGTCAGGAGGAGTCTTGAGATAACTATAGGCCTATTAATAACTCCTGTGAGGTTCAACCCACCGTTTGTTGAGACCTCTGAGCTTAGTCAGAGCCCTCCTCCTGCTGGGACCTGAGAGAGGGCTGGAGGGAGCTGACAGTGCAATGGCAGTTTTTCCTGGGGCTGCCGCTCCAGGACCCACTGGTAGGTATCTGCTGAATTCGAGCTTTCTTTTGGGTCTCTGGGGTTCTGAGGTGTGACTTTCCCTCTGAAGATAGGCGGAGCCCCTGGTGGGTGCCTTAGCCTCAGAAATGGGTCCCCCTGAGCTGGGAGCTGTTCTCCACCCTCAGTGTGCTAGGACACCTCACACCTGGTCCCGTGCATTCTGGCTTCTGAAGCCCACAGAGAGGGTCTGTAGAAATTGCTAGATACGAAAGGGCTACAAATAAGTCATAGGAAGTGTATTTACATAACTCAGTGGTTTTCAGCCATTACATTTACTTCAGCAAAAGAGATATTTAAAAATGTGAATACCCTGTGTCACCCTGCGGAGATTTGGGTTTATTTGATGTGGCGGAAGACAGGCATCTTTGGTTTTTTGTTTGTTTGTTTGTTTGTTTGATTGTAACAGGATCTTGTGCTGTGGCCCAGGTTGTAGCACAGTGGCATGATATGGGCACTGCAACCTTGACCTCCCAGGCTCAAGGAATCCTCCCTTCTCAATCTCCCAAATGGGTGCGACTATGGACCTGCACCACCATGCCATGCTAATTTTTGTGTTTTGTAGAGACAGGGTCTCACTATTCCATCCAGGCTATTCTTAAAGTCCTAACCTCAATCTGTACTCCTGCCTCTGCCTCCCACAATGCTGAGTTTACAGACGTGAGCAACTGTGCCTGGTCCTGTATCTTTTAAGAGCTTCCCTAATGCTTTGAATAGGCACCCAAGCAAAGAAGGCTTTGCTTGCGGAGGCTTGTGGAACCCTGTTGAGGCTGCATCTTCTTCACAGCCGTCAGATTGTTCCCTGAAGTGTCTGCTTAGCAGTGCACAGGCTGTTTACATCGAGGGCTTTGGGGAGCTGTTGGGTTTGGGGGTTGGCTGGGGCATGAGTGTTGGCTGTGGGATCTGTCACAACCTGGTCCTATGGGACACCCAGTCTAGGATCCTTCTTCCCAGACCACCATCCTGCCTCTCACTGCTCCTATGACAGGAGGCCAAATATCATGCTCCCCTGGACAGAGGCATCCAGGTGCAGGACTGAAGTGGGGTGACTCGCATCAGGAGGGGTGCAGCTGCTTGCTGGAAGGGTGTTGGGAAGTGTTGGTCTGCCAGCTGTCACGTCCTCCTGTTCTGCCGAATCCCAGCGATCCTCACTTGGTGTCTGGGTTTCAGAAGGGTGTGGCCCTGGGTTCTTGGCTGGCTGAACTGGTGCTTTTGCAGCCTCTGGGGCTCTTGTATGTGAGGCCTGACCTGAGTTTCTTCAGGAAACTTTTGCCCCTGAGGCTGCCTCCTGCTTAAGAGCAGAGCCTTTGTGTGGAGATCTGGCTGGCCTCCCTAGCGCCCAGCCTGTCCTGTCCTGTTATGTCTGGGTTTGAGGCTGTGTGCAGGGGTCTCTTCACATAGAGGAGGCAAGGCCAGTCGTGTGGGTCAGAGTGAAGCATGGTGATCCCAGCTGGCTGTGCCCAGCCTTTGACTGGAGGAGTCTGAGAATGACCAGGCCTGGGGAGCTGCCCTTCCTGGGAAACAGCATGTCCCCTCCCCTACTGTAGAGTTTCTGGATGTGACCCAGAGTGTGCTGGGCCTCTGTAGCATGTGCTGGGTGTAGCCGTGTGATTCAGGGTGGGAGGTGCATGGGATCATCTGCTCTGAGCCAGGTAAGGCCTGGACAGGACTGGGGCAGCCCTCAAAGAAGCCAAGTCTGATGGGATAATAGGCATGGGTAGAGAGGGGACACAGTCACCAGGGCTGTGTGTCACCTGTTCTTGCTGCTTGGTCTGCCCTGGGAGTGAGAACAGAGGTGAAGGCTGCTGTGGACCCTCTTTGGCTTCCTGCAAGCAGGTGTTCATGGGGGGAGCAAGGCAGGTGGGGGAAAAAACTGGTCTCTGAGGTGTTGAGTGGTTTTTTTTTATGTCATTGTCCTTTTTCTCTCTGCTGTCCCCAACAGCTCTGCTGTACCAGCCCATTGACCAAGTAAGTCACTCAGAGCATCCTGGTCCTACGCACCAGTGTTAAGGCCCCTGAAGGGCCAGAGAGGGCTTAGGAGTTTCTCAGAAGACTGAGCCCGGTGTGGGAGGGCACCAGAGTCATTGAGAACAGACCATTTGAAAAGTCAGGCAGAGGGATCCTGGGCCCTGAGTATGCCTCCCTGGCCTGTGGTAACCATGCCAACAGGGCCAGGGCCTCAATAGAGCTTAGCTACTGAGCTTGGCATTTGGCCAATTGCTTTCTTGGTGGAGGCAGGTAGGTCCTGCTTCCCCAACCCCTGTCTTTTTGTCTCCAGGATCCTTGGAGCAGCTGCAGGGTGGGTAGAGGGGTGTCTCTCCCGGCTGTTTGGTGAGATGAGCCTCCACCTCCTGCCTCTGCCAGGAGAAAAGAGTAAAGACTGCAGCAGGGAGAAAAGCCAGCTGGGGCCCTTTTAGAGTCAACCCTGCTGCTCCGATTCTAATGTTCAGTTCAGATTTTGCAGGCATGAGTGTGGGTCCCTGAGGGCCTGCCCTTTGAATTCTTTCGGTGAGGACTGAGCATTACCCAGGGGCTTCTCACCGATCCCTGGAAACACATCCCTCAATTCACCAGCTCATCCCTTCCCAGGACATGCTGAAGCACATACCTGTGGACCACCCAGACTGCCTGCTGCTACAGGATGCCCTCCGCATCCCCCAGGACTTCTGTCTGGCATCAGTGAGGACATTGATCCCGCTGGACTGTAGTCACAATGGACTCCCAAGGGGCAGGTGAGCTCAGGGCCCAGCAAGGCCTCACACTCAGGTTGAGGAGCCCAGGGTGGACCAGATCCTCCGATGATACAGGCATCACTCTGTGCCCCTTGTCTCTGCAACCCTGATACCCCATTCCCAGCCGAGGAGACGTCTTCAGTCCTTGGTCACCCTGATTTGATTCCCTGTGGCATTCTGGGCCCTAGGCTGAGAGCTTTAAGCCCAGTGTCTCAATAATCCTCCTAAGAATCCAGTGAGCCAGGAGAGGACACAGGCCTGGAGAATCTCTCCAGGTCTGCCACAGAGTCTTTGAGCTGTGTCAGAGCTGGATTCCTTACCTGGTTCTGGCTGTCTGGAGGTGCCAGACATTGTCCCCTGCACCAGGGAAGTCGGACTGTGAATACCTCATTCTTGAATGCAGACATCTGCCTCTGGCCAGTGTGATGCCATCAGGGTGACCTGGGTGGCTAAGGGAGCAGGACATCTCAGCCACTTTAGATCAGCCTTCATGAGCAAGAGCCAGGAAGGGAGCCCCACAGAGGGAAAGGCTGGTACTAGAGGTGGCCGAGGCCATCCAGGTTGCTGGAACATTCCACATGGGCTCCTGGATGTCGAACAGCAGTTTCCCTAGGGACCCTTCTTGGTGCAAGGGTGGGGGTTAGCCCAGTGAGGGGAAGCAACACTCAGCATTAGAGGCACAATTCACCCCTGTGGGTCGGCAGCCTGGCCCAGATCAAAGGCTGCATGACTGATAGAGGTTGTTAAGTGTCCCTTAGGAGTGAAGACTGCCTGGGTTCATGCTCATTTGTTACATTTGCGAGCGTGGGGCAGGTCTGGAGAGTGTCTGATGGTGCATAAGGAGCTGTTTCTGTGCAGTTGTTGGTTCTGGTTTGCAAAACCATGGAATGTCAGTAGTTTGTTTTGGTCTGGGGATATCTGAAAAATCTCTGGAAGACTTCGAGTAGCATCGGTTGTAGGTCATCTTAACTGTACATTTTCAATACACACACCTACATATTGCAGTATACGTAGGTCCCACAGTGTGTCATGGAGACACGAAAGACTGGGACAGATGGTCACTGGCCCATGGGAGTCCCCCTGACTCTGAGGGTGGCTGAGGGGAAACTCTGGAAATCCTCATGGAGTAGAAACCATCCAGAGCCCAGGTGAGCGGCATCTGTAGACCCCAGGACACTTCAGCATCCCAGCAAAAGGCAGCCTGGGGTCTCCCATTCCCTGGGTGTATTTTTTTTTAATGTATCTATCATATATGAATTTGGGTTTGGTATTTGGCTCCCTCATTGTGTCTGTTCTGTATTTTTGTGTTAATACGAATACCATATTGTTTGGATCACTATAGCTCTTCTATGTCATTTTTAATCAGGGAGCATAATACATCCATGTACTTTGTATTTCCCAGTGCTGAGATTGCTGGATGACATAGTAGTTGTATTTTTTCATTTGAGGAGGAACTGCCGACTATTGCTCATAGTGTGTACACCAATTTACATTCCCACCAGTAGTGTCAAAGAGTTTCCCTCTCTGCAAATCTACACTGTTGATTGCCTTTTCAAAATTCTGTTTTTGTTTTTGGCAACATACATCTTATGTGGATGGGGACACTCTCTTAGTGTGGCTTTGCTTTAAATTTTTTTGATGATTAGTGATGTGGACAAGCTTTTCCTTTACCTGTTAGTTCATTTCCTGCCTTCTTTTCAGCAATTTCTATAGGTTCTTTGCCCAAGTTTTGTTGGATTATTTGGTTTTTGTATTTTCGTATTCTGTATTAGTTTCTGGTATATGTCAGATGAATACCTTCAGCGATACAATTCCTTATACTCACTGCCTCGCAGCATCCTCTGCTCATTCTCTCTTCTGCTCAATGACCACTGCCTGTGACCCATTCTTCTCCCTCCGCAGGGCAGGGCCCCGACCTCCTGCCTCCCATGTTTCCTTATACTCATGGAGGCCTGGCCCAGTGCGGGGCCAGCCACATGGCACAATGTCCAGACAGGCCAGTTGGCATGGAAAATAGCATCTGGGGTCTCTGAGTTGATTATTGAATGCAGACTCACCCCGCTCACAACCAGTCAGCACCACTGCCACCCAAGCAAACCACCCGGGAGCCTGGAAGTTGCTCTGCCCACCTGTTGCCATGGGCACAGACACATACCACAGGGAGGACTGACAACAGACCCAGGCCGTCTGCCCCTGGTGCCCAAGGATGACATTCAGGGACCTGAGGATCACCCCAGCCCACCCACCACAACCTGTGTCCATGTAGGCTCCCACAGGGCCTGAGGACAGGCTAACCCCTCCCAAAGAACCCCCACCCCACAAGTGCCCAAGTACTCCATCCAGGGACCTGGGGATAGACCTGCCCTTCCTGCCAATTCTGGCACATGCTTGCACCAGCAGGGGGCCTAACAACAGGCCAGACCACCTGCTGCCGGCATCCAAGCCTGCCATCTTGGAGCCTGGGATCACCCTGCTCTACCCATGAGCACCATCGGGGGCCCCAGGGCAGGTTCATCCCACCTGGCATACGTATGCATGAACTAGAAATGTGTTTGCCTGCCGGGCGCAGTGGCTCATGCCTGTAATCCCAGCACTTTGGGAGGCCAAGGCGGGTGGATCACCTGAGGTCACGAGTTCGAGACCAGTCTGGCCAACATGGTGAAACCCCATCTTTAAAAATTAGCCGGGCTTGGTGGCACCTGCCTGTAGTCCCAGCTACTCTGGAGGCTGAGGCAGGAGAATCGCTTGAACTCAGGAGGCGGAGGTTGCAGTGAGCCGAGATTGTGCCACTACTCTCCAGCCTGGGAGATAGAGTGAGACTCCATCTCCAAAAAAAAAAAAAAAAAGCGAAAGAAAAACAAATGTGTTTGGGGCTGTGATACTTTCAACAACTCAGAGACATGGGGAAGCAGTTGATACGACACAAAAAAGTCCATGGCAGATCCACCTGACAGATGTGATGGCAGTTCTGCTATAAAATCAGTCTTGGTTTGACATTAAGGTTTGTCACAGCTCTTGAAAATTTGGCAGTGAGGTTGAAGGTCTCTCAGAAATTTCATGTACTCTTGTATTGTGTATGCACGAATAAAGTTAGAAAAATGTTTTTTTATCTTTCTCTAGAAACAAATATGAACTTGGGTTAACTTTCTGAGTTGGTTCCCTTGGAAACCTGGAAAAGGCGGAATGTCATCTGTGTTGGGTTACCAGACTACATATAAAAATGGCCCATAGTTGGTCATCATTATCTGAATTGGGAGAGCTATGAATGAATTGTAAACAATGGGGGCGTCTAGAGTTAGAGAAGAGTAATTGCAATTTTTGAAGTCTGCCATCAGTTGGTTTTGCTATTGTTAGAAATGTTTTGAAGTCTATGGTCAACTTTTTGGTGGCTTACTTTGGAGAAAAAATCAAGAGGTAAAACCATACTTTGGGTTTCCCTGAGTGCAGTGGTGTTTGTAACTAGGCATGTCCATTGCTGGGACTCTTGAAAACTTTGACCATGGGACTGTTAAAAGAAATCTCAGTTCCTTTCTGGGACACAGGCTTCTAAGCCGGGTAGCCCTGTGCCCACCCATGTGACCTTGTTCCTTTACACCTGAGGTGTCACTTGGGGAGCAGAATCCAGAGAGTAGCCCCTGGACTGAAGTGTGGACAGCTGTGAGGACTCCTGCTAAAGACACAGGCATGATACCAGTCTGCTGGCACATGGTGTTTCGTGTTTTGTATCCTTCTACATGATACCAATGGCACTATTGGCTTCATAGGGACGATTTTAGTCATGTCAATGTTAGATGTATAATTGAGCTAAGGCCAACCGAAGGCATGGTGGGCATGTCAACATCACTAATCATCAGAGAAACACAAATCAAAATCACAATGAGATATCATCTCACCCCAGTTAAAATAGGACTTTGTCAAAAAGACAGGCAATATTGAATGCTGGTGAGGATGTGGAGAGAGGGGAACCTTCAAACACTGTTGGTGGGCATGTAAACCCCTGACCTCAAATGATCTGCTGGACTCCTCAGCCTCCCACAGTGCTGCTGAGATTACAGACGTGAGCCACCATGCCTGGCCACAAGTGGTATTGTTTTAGTTTATATGCGATGGTTCATTTCAAGTACATTGAATACAGTTCCCTTCTGCCTGTTTGTGTTGTATCACAAAACCCATAATGAAACTCTAAGACCAGAGCATTTGTGAGCCACTCCTTGATTTTGAATGGGGCATGGATGGACTCAACCTCTTTTAATTGCTCCAATGAATCCCATGAGATTTTTTAAAAACTTTCACTTTAGATTCAAGGGGTACATGTGCAGGTTTGTTACATGGGTATATTGTGCAATGCTAAGGTTTGGGGTATGAATGATCCCCAGAACCCAGATAGGACCCAATATGTAGGTTTTCAGCATTTGTCCCTCTCCCTCTCTCCCCTCTGTGGTTGTCCCCAGTGTCTATTGTTCCATCTTGATGTCCATGTGTCCCCAGTGCTTAGCTTCCACTTGTAAGTGAGAACATGTGGTATTTGGTTTTCTGTTTCTGCTTAATGTGCTTTAGATATGACCTCCAGCTGTATCCATGATACTGCAATGGACATAATTTCATTCATTTTTATGGCTGAGTAGTATCCCATAGTGTGCATGTACCACATTTTCTTTATCCAATCCACTGTTAATGAGCATCTAGGTTGATTCCATGTCTTTGCTCTTGTGAATAGTGCTGTGATGAACATACAGGTGCAAGTGACTTTTTTTTTTTTTAGAATGATGTATCTGCCTTTGCAGATATACCCAGTCATGGGATTGCTGTGTTGAATGGTAGTTCTTTTCTAAGTTCTTTGAAAAATCTTCAAACTGCTTCCCACCATGGCTGAACGAATTTACAATCACACCAACAGTGTATAAGTGGTGATGCATGCCTCTAATCTCAGCTACTCAGGAACGCTGAGGCAGAAGAATCACTTGAACCCCAGAGGCAGAGGTTGTGGAGAGCCGAGATCAACCCATTACACTCCAGTCTGGGCAATAAGAGTGAAACTCCTTCTAAAAAAAAAAAAAAAAAAAAAAAAGAATTCACAAAGCTCAATAATAAAACATGGGGAAAAAAATTGAACAGACTTAAGAAGATACAGATGGCAAACACACACATGAAAAGATGTTCAACATCATTAGTCATTAGGGAAATGCCAAAGTAAAGCCACAGAGATACTGCTACACACCCAGAAGAATGGCTAATGTTTAAAAAACTGACGATGCTACATGCTGTTGAAGATGTAAAGCAACAGGAACTCCCAAACACTGCTGATGGGGATGTAAAACTGCAGCACCACTTTGGAAAACAGTTTGATGGTTTCTTACAACATTAAAAATACATCTACCTTATGATCCCCGCATTCCACTCCTAGGTATTTACCCAAGAGAAAAGGAAATATATGTCCATGTAAAAACTTATGCATTAATTTTCATAGCAGTTTATTTGTAATAGCCAAAAACTGGAAACAACTCAAACGTCCATCAGCAGATGAATGGATAAATTGTGACACACCGTCCAGTGGAATACTCGGCAATAAAAAGGAACTACTGGTACACATGAGTAAGTCTCAAAATCATTATGCTAAGTGAAAAGTCAATAGAAAAGAGTACATCTGGCCAGGTGCAGTGGCTCACGCCTGTAATCCCAACACTTTGGGAGGCCGAGGTGGGCGGATCATAAGGTCAGGAATTCAAGATGAACCTGGCCAACATGGTGAAACCCCGTCTGTACTAAAAATACAAAAATTAGCTGGGCATGGAGGCATGCGCCTGTAGTCCCAGGTACCTAGGAGGCTGAAGCATGAGAAGAGCTTGAATCTGAGAGGAGGAGGTTGCAGTGAGCTGAGACTCCACTCCAGTGTGGGTGACAGAGTGAGACCCCACCTCACACACACACACACACACAAAGTATATTTTATATGATTTTATATATTTCAAAACCTATAAAATACAAACTATGGAAACAGAAAGCAGATCAATTGTTGCTTTTGGATGGTGGTGGGCAGGGAGAAGCAGGAGGGAGGGATTACCAAGAGGCATGAGGAAACTTTGGGGTGACAGGTACATTGACTACCTTGATTGTGATAGTGGCTTCATGGATGTGTATATGTGGCCAAATGTATCATATTGCACACTTAAATCCAGTAAATGCTTGGAATGTCCACTTCATTGTGTTTCAATTATACCTCAATGAAGGGTTATTGTAAAAACTAAAATATTATTTTTAAAAAACAGGCTGGGCACGGGGGCTCACACCTGTAATCCCAGCACTTTGGGAAGCCGAGGTGGGTGGATCACAAAAAAGATAAA